CCAGAGAGGGAAATGTGCAGTGTGTAATAAAATAGGTCTTTGGCTTGGCTAATCAGGTCTAAGCAATAACATCTCTTAATCAGCATCATACGCGCTAACAGCCTGTTGATTAATCACAAGCAGGAGTGCTGAGTAGCTGCATGGGTGGCACTCAGTCTGGTCTACACAACAACTTACAAACAGAGACTTTCAGTAATTAATTTAGCAATGGAGACAGGCTAACCCACAGACACCCATGCATGACTCCTTTAAAATACATATGTCATACACAACATGAGTTCACACATATGCAAAATCAACAAAAAAAACACTAATGGTCTCTTAGAGACAGCCACAAGTGTGTTTTTACTATATGTAGATGAAATGGAGAATTCACTGTATGCATAAAGTCACATACACAGAGATTCAGTCCAATATACACACAGACACTCATTTCTTCACACGGCGCATGAAGAAGCAGACTGTTTTTTTTCTCCTTCCCACATCAGAGGAGGAGAGGGAGCAATAAAGGATTAAATTACAATGACTCGTTCAGATAGGAGCTGTAATTTGGGCCAGAAAAGGGTAACCCACTGAAAACTTGCTTTTGCACAATAAAGAATATATTAGAGGCCCTAAATGGTTGAGGGAGTCATTTGCTGCGTATCAAAATTACAATGTGCATAACGGCCCTATGTGGCTTTCACCCAAATTCAGGCGAGATGGTGCGTAAACTGGGAAAACAATGGAGCCTGTTCTGTTATAGGCTACTTAATGCTTTCAGCTACTGAACTTTTTCAGTGTACTTATTTATTGCCCTTCGCATCACTGCCTACTACTGTTTTCTATTTTATTGGTGCATGCCAGGCAACACAGCCTGGGAGTATTTGGGACAAGAAATAAGCATTGTGACTTTGACCATTTTCCTCTGTGTGATAGAGAAAAGGCACAAAAAGGGGGACAGGGCAAAGGAAAACATGAAGTCGACCACAAGATAAAGTTGCACTAAAGGGCTCATTTAAAGATTAGACTAATCAAAAATTAGGGTTTATTTCACATGACCAGTAAATCTTCAAGCTTTAGTGATAACACCTTCAGGTTTTATTTGGCTTCAAACAGAAGAAAAAAGCATGGAAGGTTTGGGATAAATAATGGGGGGCCAAGCGAGGAAAAAAGGCTCAGGGATTTAAAAACAGAGAGCTAAAGCAGAGGGGGTGAAATGTGTAGAACTGTGATTGATGCAGGGGTAAAGGGGGAATGGGGATAAGAGGGCTGTAAAAGATGCAGGGAAGCAAGCCAGGGGTACACATTTTGAGATCTGTAATGGTGTGTGTGAGGGATGTGGTCGCAAAGTTCATTAAAACACAAGAGACAGAAAAAAGGCACAAAACTGGCACTAGGGCGGTACCCCTCATGGGAATATCTTCAGTACTTTTAACTAGGGAACATAATTGTACTATATTTCATTGCAAATACGGTTTTTAAGTTGACTCCATGCACTCTTGTCTTGACTCCAGGCTTTTAATGCTATCTTTCTAATTTAAAAGGTTAGGTTATGAAAAAGTACAAATATGCATCCGCTTCAGAAAGAAGACACAGTGTACTTTTAAAACTCATTTAAGGCACATAACTGTACCTTAAGACAATTGTTGTACCTTTGAGGGTGCATTTACCTTGTTCATATAGTGTACATCTGAACATTTTAATTTTCAAGAGAGCTCACAGAATCACTTTCTATTAGACGAACTGTTACACTACTCTATACTGTCAATGATGTGAGTCAGTGCCAATTACTATAAACACAACAGTGCCAATAGCAACTAGGACAACAAAAAAAATCTATGTATTTTTATTCCACCAATCTACTATAACTGAACAGTATTCCCGAGTCTTAGAGTATAAAAACAGAGGGAGCAATGGCTGGGAAGATAAATTGCAAGTCAAGCTCTGTAAAATGACCCCCGTCCTGCTTGACCAAAGCAGTGTGTTTTCTTTGGACTGAAGGCATAGCTCAGCATCTGTACATCTGGCCGAAGAGCTTTCCACCTCTGTCTTCTCTCTACTGCCTTTTCATTCTATGACAATGGAAAAGGCATATATTCAAGAAACTATTCATACTGATGCTAGTCGCATGATGGAACTAGACCAGCAACAACTAGCTCAGACGACACAATAAAATTCCTAAAAATCTTCATGTTGCATTCTTTGTTCATGTGATTTAGCGCTTACTACATGACAACGTCCATCCTTCTAAAGCAGAGGCCTGTGATCCTCAAGGGGCCTTCAGCCATTTCTGTTCTGTGAAAGTTATTTAAACATCTAAGCCTGGTAATCCGAAAGCCTTTACTACTTTGATCAGGGGTGTCTGAAGAAGCAATGAGACAAAAATGTGAACTAGCTAAGGCTTCCTCTTGTATACTGTATGTTTATGACAAGCCAGCATCACTTGCAGGTAACAGACACTGCTGTCTCACTGGCACTATATGGTGTCTTTGAATGACTCAAACAACACTGCAAATTAGCTTTGCAAAGACAAGGGAACAATCTATCATGATCACAAGTGATTCTCAAGTGCCATGTGGGTGGTATTGTACATCATCACACTATCACGATGGCATACTGTCATACTTAATCTATAATAAATCAGAAACTCATACCTCTCTGCTGATATAATCACTCTGGATTACAGTATTAAAGAAGACCTGTTGTTTTTGAATGCATACAGATGTTTACTGGCATCCTATGCCTATCTAGCCACATTTATCACATTCCACTGGCGCCTGCACCTGCATAGATTGCTCATCTTCAGTCACGTACTGTGCTGAACTGAACTTGCACTGGCCCCAATGCCAGCCCCCTAACGCCCACAACACCATAACTTCACCCTATTGGTCCAATGAAAGACCAAACATGACGGACGGTACGGGGGCTAAGAGAGAGAAACAGAGAAAGCGAGATATCATCTTCATGCAGGTGATTTCCAGTTAGCGTAGCTTAGAGCAGGTATATAGCATTTTCCGTCTAAACACCTCCAGAGGAACTATTATGTCTACGAACATGTTACAGTGCTAAAGGGATGACAGATGGATGGATGGATAGTGGAGGGAGAAAGAGAGAAAGAAAATTAAATGGTTACAGAGAAACAGAAGGGAGCGACCCTGGGAGGCTCAGTCGATGCACTTTCAGCCCATTCCAATTCAATTCCACTCAGCTCTTAGAGGGATTGCCAGATCAAGAGGAGGGTAAAGAGAGTGCCAAGGAGGGATGGAGAAACTGAGAGATACAGTGAGCCAAGGAAAGAGAGAGTAAGGGAGGGAGCAATTAATGCCAACATCAACACAGCTAATGGCTACAAACTACAGTTCACACGAGCCTGCTACAGCGCAGGCTTCAGTATAAAAGCCACTGAAATTAGAGATGTTAACGATTGATCAATTATAGGTCAGTAACTCTAATTTAAACAGATCCAGCTACCTGTGTCTAAATGTTAGGAAGTAATTACAATTTTTTAAATTCTTTTTAAAAGCTCTACATATTAGACATAATATCCATATTACGTATTACAAAATACATTTACCTGCTGAGGTTGGGCAGGTGAATAGCATATTGTCCATTCTAATAAATATGTGGTGGACACTTTCATTTACACTATACGCCAAAAGTATGTTAATACTCAAATTACTGGATTCAGATGTTTCAGCCACACCGTACACTAAACAGGTGTATAAAATCAAGCACATAGCCATGCAATGTCTCTCCACAGACAAATATTGCTAGGTGAATAGTTTGTATTGAAGAGCTCAATGACTTTAATCAGGGCACTGTCATAGGATGCCAACTTTGCCACAAGTCAGTTTGTGAAAATGGCATGCGTCAGCTGGAGTGGTGGATTGGACTCTGGAGCAGTAGAAACATCTAGACGCTTCACTACCCCAGCAGTCTGATGGACAAATCTGGGTTTGGCGATGTCTGGAGAACGCTACCTACTGGAATGCATAGTACAAACAGTGACATTTGGTGGAGGAGGGATAATGGTCTGGGGCTGTTTTTTAGGATTTGGGCTAGGCCCCTTAGTTCCAGTAAAGGGTAAAGTTAATGCTACAGTATACCAAGACATTTTAGACAATTGTATGCTTCCAACTTTGTGGAAACAGTTTGGGGAAGGTCCTTTCCTGTTCCAGAATGCCCAACAACAAAGCAAGGTATGGAGGAACTCAAATGGCCTACACAGGGTCCTGACCTCAACCCACTGAACACCTCTGAGATGAACTGGAACACCGATTGCAACCCAGGCCTTCTCGTCCAACATCAGTGCCTGAAGTCACAAATGTTCTTTTTACTGAATAGGCACAAATTCCCAAAGACACACTCCAAAATCTGGTGGAAAGCCTGCCCAGAAGAGTGGAGGCTGTTATAGATGCAAAGGGGGGCCAACTCCATATTAACACACATGAATGGGATGTCCAACAAGCTCATATAGGTGTGATGGTTAGGTGTCCACATACTTTTGACCTAATTAAGAAAACTACTTAAACTGTGACACAACCCCATAATTAATATAGGTCCATCTTATTAGAACAAAGATTGGAACAATAAAGTTTAGTAAGTTCTTATAAACCTGATTACACACTTAGTTACTGAGTAATTTGCAAAGAAATATGTTACAACTCACCTCAGTAGTTAACACCTCATTATAGCACAGAATGAAAAACAGTTGGCCTGCCTGCGTAATGCATTTAAGCGAAGCAATGCCGAAAGATACTGACTACGGGTGTGTGATGAGCAGAGGTTACAATTTTAACATCTGTGCTCATTCCACCATAAGCCACATTCATCTTTTTCTTTTAGTTAAAACAATGCAAGGTCATGATACAATAGTTGTAGTGTGGTTTACAGATTCCAAAGACCATACCCAAATACAACGTCATTTTCAGACAGTTCAAGTCCATTCAAATGTATAAAGATTTGTCTTTAATATTTTTATGGACCATAGCAATGTCAGTGTAAAGCAGAAGGCTTACCAAAGCAGTTGTTCCTATGAGGGGCAAACGTCTTGCAGGCTGTAGCAATCTGTATCTCTGCACTCAGCACAGCTTTAATGATCAGGTCCTCTATCTGACCCATCAGCACTGACATACAACAGGAAACAATGCTATTCAGTCACACAGCCCTGGTAGAAGATCATAATCAATCTGCTCGGTTTTACCATTCTAGCTCAACTCTAGCATAATTCTGATTCTTACACAAAATTACTTTTTAATTATCTAACAATAACAACACTGTGTTTGGGTCTCTAAGACTACTAAAGTGCATGACAGAAGTGTCTGATGCATGTCTGAATGAGAATACACTGCAATCTGTGTATAAACCCAAGAAATACTGGAAATTCATATAAATATAAACATATAAAATCCCTCTAATGATCCAGTCAGTATCATACTATCACACCATGCATGAAATAGCATAAGAGTATGGTTCACAACAATAGAACAGGTGAGTGTGATAAAGTAATGTGAGCTTCTACTCACATGTGGTGTCCTTTCCCTCCTGTCTCAAATACCTCAGCATTGCACTCATGCTCCATTTGTTCCCATAATCCTCTACTTCAGGGTCATCGCAGCTGAAAAGGAAGAACAGGCCCTCAGTGTCTGGTTTGCCAAAACAGCACTGAGAAATGAGCACAGTGCAACAATGTTGACATGATTAGCAAACAAGGGGATTATCTCACATCTGAGGATGCATTCCTTCTTCGTTTGTGAACAGGGAACAATGGTGAGTGATGATTTAACTGTTTTTCATGACAGCTAAAATCTTTTCCAATTAGTGTCATATTCATCTAATTCTACTACTTTAAGCCCCCCACAAGAAGAAAACAAGACCACATACAGCAAATATGTGATTTGTGATGGCAAGATGCATTATTCAGATTATGTATTTCTTCAGAGTGAAGACTACTCAAAGTTACAAACAGAAGTTATATGTGTACAGACATTCTTAGAGCGTAAGGATATTTTGCCATTTATATTTCTTTGGATATGACTAGATAGGGAGTTGCTTGATACACACATGCCTCTCCACTGATTCAGAACTGTTATGGTTGTATGTAACTCGATTAGTCTAAAATATGACAGAGCCAATAGACAGTTTCTCTTTTTTCAGTATTCAGTGTTCATAGCAACCTCTTTCAACTGAAGGAATGGGAGAAACTGAATACAAAAAGAACATTCATGTCTGAGTAAAGTCAACTTTACCTGACATAGTCACTGCTCTTCTTGTTTACACTGTAGTTGGTAAGGTGCATAAACTGGTTCTTGATGTTCTTCACAGCATGGTCATACTTCACAGTGGCAAATCTACAGTACAGTCAACCAAACAGAGGAAAGACTGGACAAATTAAGAGATGTTATAGCACACCATGTTTATAAATGGTTATATGTAAAGTTAATAAAAAGTAGCCAGAGTGCTTTGTAGAGATGTATAGCTACAAGAACACTTTACTTTACATTCTTGTCATATAATCCTTTAATAACAAAGGTGAACACAGAATTTCTATCAGAACCATCTAATCATGCTGTCCGAAGTAAACAGTCAATAAGACACATTTGGTGTGTTCTAGTCCATACATGAATACATTTCAAATATTGTGATTCATCACAATATTTGAAAAAGAGATTTAAAAAGATTGCAAGTTAAAAAATACTGTAAACTCAGGGTGAAAACATCCAAAAACATGGCTTGAAAAATTATAATTATTAGCATTATTTTCTTCCAAAAAGTGGAAGTCTTCCTTCTCAGTGTACAATAGTGCTGTATTTCACAGGGTGGACACCACATGTGGAATAATGAGAATTCCTTGGCATCGTGAGCACCTGAATGCCTGCAAAGCCACTGGAATGTCCAAGATAAAAGTTGGATTCGGAATTCTGCCAGGATTTATTACAGACAGTTAATAATGGTGCAAGGTGAAAATAAACTTGAGTGTCACTCTGTGAAGGCCATGCTTGTGCCAAGGCTAATAGCGACAGGCCAACCGTTTTATATTTTATCCCAGTCAGTCTGACCCCTGAGTCTCCCCAAGCCACACCTAGCCAATATATATCGAGTTCCCACAGTTTTATTTCCACAGTAAGCTGGACAGATGGTGATGTGACATCTGTATTACACAATCGGCAATCCCAGAGTAGAGAAATTGTATGAGGCCTTCACTTACTGTACGTTTTTTATTATAAAATTGCTTTAGACAGCTGTAATCTTACTTAATACATAATCAGGGTCTACAACAGTACTTACAAAACTTAGTACATTGATGTGATTCTTTTCATTACCCATATACTTATCTTATTGTTACATTTTGTACTGTTTAAAATAATTAAATCATTCTAAATCAGAAGAGTAATACTGCTCTACCACTTACAACTTTCCAGCACACTGTAATCTTTATCTCTTTCAATGTTCTTAGGGAAAATCTACACTTGTTAAACTTGATAGTGTTCATCCACTAGTGAGACAATGGAAAGCTTTGTAGACTTAGTATGTTTGTCCAAATTAACCAGAAACATTCCTGCTGCCATCTAGTGGTCTCTCTGCACAGATGAACAGCACTTTTTGGATGTCAGGATACTGCTGTACAGATGCCTAATGACAGGGAAAGGGTGCAATTTTGCCTGCACAGATTTTACAGGTGTTTATGGATCTCTCAACTCTCAGCATCGAACCATCTCTCCGAAATGTAACTGAGGCCAGGCCCAAACAAATCCTTGTGCCAGATCAGTGGTGGACGAAGTGCACAAATCATGTACTTGAGTTAAAGAAGAGATACTCAAGGTAAAATATTACTCCAGTAAAAGTAGAAGTCCTAACTTTAGACCTCCAATTGAGTAAAAGTACAAAAGTATTGCCTTCAAATGTACTTAAGTATCAAAAGTAAAAGTACTAAAACATTAATTAACTTAATGCAACTTAGTTACAAGTTTAAGTTTAATAAAAACTTGCTTTAAACACAGGTTCACAAATGTGTTTTCCTTTACTATATTGCATCTGTAGGTCTCTGTTCATAAACATAAACTAGCCGAAACACATTTACTATAAAATGAAATAGTGTTTGCATAAATTCAGAAAAAAAGACTCATGCCAGTCACAACTGCATGTATGCACATATTTCTATATTGTGATCTATTTACACAAAGTTAGTTCCATCATTTAGGTAGGAATGGGCACTCCCAAAATTTTACATTGCACTAACATTGAACTGTATGCTTGCACTGGGTCGGTATGTCCAACAGGTCAAAACAAGTTCAAAACAAAATGTGCACGCTGTACCCTGATTGGTGTGCTTGCTTCACGATTCTTTTGTTTTGAAGTTACGTTTTTATACACACATAAGCCAAAAGGAACAACAGATTTCACATAATGTAGTGGAGTAAAAAGTAAGATATTTGACTTTGAAATGTAGTGGAGTGAAAGCAAAAAGTCACGCAAAATGGAAATACTTCAGTAAAGTACAGACACACGAAAAAACTACTTAAGTACAGTAATGAATTAAATTTATTTCGTAACTATCCACCACTGTGCTAGCTGAAATATGGTTCTAGGATTCTGAACAAGACTCTAACACTATGTGACGCTATAGCTTGAGGGGCACACAAGAAAAAAAAAAGAAAGGCAAAAAGACAAGGTTCACCTGGCAAGTCCTTCTTCGTAAACATAGATGATGATGGGGTCATAGGAGGTCACTAGCACATATAACCGTACATCAAATTTAAAATCTGCAGAACAAAATAAGGAAATAAAGCAAAGATCATTACACAACAGAAGGAAATGCTATCTCTACTAAATTTTCCTCTTTACATGCTTATTTTTCTTTACTGAATACTCGCCATCAATCAGTAAAGGATTGCTAATGTATCGGGACACCAGTATGTTCTCATCCAGCGGAATCTGGCTTGGCTGGAAGAGTCAAAAAGACAAGAAAAGTTACATTTTAGAACATGATTACTTGTCACATCATCACTCATGTGCAACTGGCCTAAACTTTAAAGACTCCAAGCAATATTTTCCCTCTGTTTCTTATCGCACCCCCAATTCTCACATCCTAGATCCGCTTTGGGTTGAAACCAGTACTGTATGAATTCCTTGTGTAGAGTGTTCCTGAATAGCCCATGTGTCCTTAGTCCAAAACCAATAATCTCAAGCATATCCTATCATAAGAACATGATGATATCTCAACAAGAACAAAACAGTGGACTTTTTAAAACTGTTCAAATAGGTCCACATTTGGTGCAGCTGTAACAAGTAAAGTATACTCTACATATGTACACCACATGTGATTCTCACAAAACAGTATATTTCAGAGATCAAAAGTAATACAAACTAAGCACCACATACCATAATTCAAGTTAACTAGTGTTTTTACACAGCTTTGCTTATAAAATTTCTTAAGATGGAATAGGAGTATGTGGTCAGATTGTCATGACAGTGAATATCAGAACCAACAAAGCAATGAACCATTCCCGTGTCTGAAATTTGTTTCATCGGGGGGGTTATTAGATCAAGAGGCTCAGAAGCTGCCGCTACCAACTTCAGATCTGGCAACAGTTCACAGAAAACACACAAACAGAAAAAAAAAAAAAACCATTAACCATTCCTCTTTCCAAATATCACTAACATTCTTTCCACCTCTTCATGAGGGGGGGTGGGCACTACATACTATGGCCAAGGATGAAAATCATCAGAAACTCTGCCAAAAGAGGATTCCTTGATGTGTGTGATTTACTCCAAGGTGCATTAATGTCTAGGACACACATTTGTTTCTGGAACCACTTCACCATACAGTCAACTGGGTCTAATTATCACAGAACCAAATAGGCAGATTACTAGATAGTAATAGGGGAGCACCAACAAACACATTTTGGGTTTTGCTAAATAATTCTAAAAATATTTGAGAAACATATATAAATATTCAGCCTATATATTCAATATAAGAAGCCTACACATCTCTACTATAAACGAAAAAAGGTAAACTTTGATTTGAGCACCTACCACTTGTGAACAAGCTGAAAATGGAATGAGTGCAAATGTTACAACTTACCCTATTAACCCTATCAGGGTTAACTGTAACAGACTAACATGCTATTCATCAGAACAGTGTGGTAAACTATTGTAAATACAATTCAAAACATTTCTATTTTGCCTGAACTACACAAGCTTTCCAACCAAAATAACAAGAATACACACATCAAAAAATGAAAAAAATAACTATGGTGATTAACTAAAGTGAAAAACACCACAATTTACCAATTTTATAAATATTTTTGTATATCGTTCTAAATTTACAAATATTTTATCAACAACAAGAACAACAAATATCTGCACGACAAAATATATTTCATTTACAAGACATCTACAATATACAGTAAGTTTTCATTTACTTTGTGAGTAAAACGTTTAGAAAAAATATATAAATAGCAAAAAAGCTTAAACAACAGGCTAAACAGACACATTATATAGTGAGATATGCCTTTGATTGACTCTCACTGTTTACACTGGCTGGTTTAGCTGTAACACTGCTTTCAAACTAAGCCTGATATGTGGAGGCTGTACTTTAGCCTTGCTAGCTTTCGTTGTGAACTGCTTATATGCTTTAAAATTGCTCTGTTACAGCTAGTATAAAGGTGATTAAAATAAGTGTGCATTCTGTGACTTACACACACATCTCTGTGATTGAAAAACACAATACTTTCACACAAACAGGTACACTTAGAGTCACTTGACTATTAAACAGTAATGCATACTTGTTTACCCAAACTGGAAGTTGTGAGCTGTGAGGGAAAATGGTAACTGTATTTTCAAAGCTAGCTAGCTAAGCTAAGCTAAGATAACCTATGCTAACTCTTGGAAAAAAATGATAAAATAAGGTTACTTTCATCATACAAAAACTTCAGTGGAAATTTTGATAAATATCTGTTCAACTGATGTTTTTTCTACAATTTTTACAATAAATAATGATAGCTCTGCCATTTGCAATTGCTCATAAGACAAAGTAAAAACAAGAGATATGTTTTGACTCTGTTGTGAAGTCAATTCAGCTAGTATACTGGCAGTCAATGTAGTAAAATAACGAACACACTAAAGTGTGAGTCACTTCTAAATTGATTGATACAGCTACTATGAATATAAACGTTAACAAAAATCAAGAGAACTGAAACTCCCACAGGATCATAAACACTGAATGCTTCCTTTGTATCAGGTGCAATGGGGTCTCACTTACACTGCTGACCAGGTAGATACCCCTGCCTCTGGAAGATGCCACAGGTTTGATAATCCATGGGCCCTTATCCTTGCAGAAGTAATCTACAGTTCAAATGAGGAGAGAGAGGAAAGCATTAAAATACAGCGGAAGAGCAAATAAGTGCAGAGCTTTCATACTTTATGATGTTTACTTTCAGCATGAGCAAAAAGCTAAACAGAGATGTTAGCAAAGCTTATCAGAGGGGGGCACACTCACTGCAGAATTCCTGGTATTCAGCAGGAAGCACGAAGGTCTGGGGCACAATGTGGAAGTTCTGAAAGCCGTGTGTCTGCTGCATCCTCTGAATGTTTTTGTAAAGCCGATCTTTCCGCGTCAGCTCATATGACCTGTAAACAAACAATAGCATTAACCATAAGAATGAGGGAGTGAGATCGACATCAAGAACAATCAGAGAAAACTTATAACACTATGGCTGCTACAGATCCAGCATGGCATGTTTTGGTCTATTACAATCTATATTACAAGACTACAGTCTGTGTAGCTTTAGGATGCAGTAACACATGCTTGTTTGCATAAAAGCCTATTACACTGACATCTATTTTAACACCAGAAGAGAGGGCTACACTTGTTCTTTAAAACAGGTGTGTCCTGCACAGTAAATACATGTTAAATTATTTTAAAGGAATGCACATACACACATAGACCAACATACCTGGGGAAGTGGTTGACTTTCTGGAAATCTTGAAGAGTGCGAAGCAGGTAAGTCTTAAGGTGGGAGCCTGTCCACATCAGGTTGAAGTCATTACTGTTTGGGTGTACCTAAACATACGTAAGTACATCAAGGACAAATAAAATAAAAAGTAAGTTATACAGACAAAGAACTGTGGTAAGGATTAAGTGAACATAGTATAAGATATTTTCATGGACATTGTTAACATTTCACTGAGCTCAACGACTAACATTTAAATCAAATCAAGTGCCTTGATATAATGTATCTTCTATTATACAGCACTTCCATTTTTCCCAGCTGAAACATTGACCTTTGTATAACACAGTCAAACTACTCCAATCTGTTGCCCCTCCCCTCACCCTGCCTCTCTCTCCCGCTCTCTTTGTGGAGGCAGATTTGGCATAGCCATCCATACTGGCTATGAGAAACCCAGATGTTAGCAATAGAAGTTTATTAAACCTTGGCTGAAGCGCTGCTGTGGTAGATACTAGCCCTGCCTTTGATGATGATTTTAGGGGAAGTCCAGCAGTACTGAAGTGAAATAAAATGGGCATTAATAGTAAGTACTCAGATGGCGTGATAATAGTGCAAGCACTCCCTCGTGAATCAGGATTAGCAATTTTGGAGGCCAGTCCCTTTGCATTCCTGAGCTTTGACATCGACGGTGTCAGTTTGGGGGAAACAAAGACTCCTTTACTGTATTCTGTTACATGGATGTGAGCCTTACAGCATGGTGGCTGATTTACCTACCCAGATTCATGTCTGTTAGGTTGCTTCAAAGTATGGGTAGAGATATATTAAAAGGTTTTTACATTCAAAAAATTAATTAAATAGTGAAAAAAAATTCAACTAGTGTTCATCTACAACAAATAGCAGGTGACTAAAATATAAACTGAAAAACACAGTGAGTCATACTGACCACTGCTAAAAGGTTAAAGTAGAGTTGTCAACTCTACTTTAACCTTTTAACATAATCTAAAGTCAACTACCAAAAATTGTGATGATAAGCACAATTTAACTGGAATTATTGTCAGTGTGCTGTCAGTACATGATGCTCTACCTCATGGAATCCATGACTCACAAGTATGCCACGCACAAGTCGGCTCTCAGTGCGCACAATCTTGAAAGCTAAGTTATATTTTTCTGCAAAGAGAAAATAAATCAGTTACAGCTTCAGAGATTTAAACTCTAAATCCTTAGTATTTCAATAGCAATAACACAGATTAAGATTTTTAAAAATGACATGCTAACCTAGACTACTGAAGGCTCATTAAGGAGCCACCGAAAGGTTGCATCAACACAAAAAGCCTTGTGAGGGCACGCCCAGTGACAGGTGTGCTTGCCAAATCACATAAAACAATGTGTAACTCAATTACATTGTCATTTCCCTGCCACAAGTCTTCAGTACATTTATGACTTTACAACAGATGGAAGCTGTTGTGTCCTAATTGCCTTAATACCTCCAATGGAGCGAATGTTTGCATCTTTCAACACAATAGCTTCAGCATGGAACAGTAAAACCGGGATCTTCCTGCTGACGCCACTCCAGGCAATGCAGGGATGACATCTAAGGGAGTAGGGATGAGAGGAAAGAGAAAACATATAATGTCAGTTGAACATCGTGAGTCCTAGAGATCTACTTTACTGAGATACAGTATACTTAGCATCTATTGTGGTCACACAGAATTGCACAAAAACTCAGCATGCTTTTTTTGTAAAAGAATACAAACTATACCATTACATTCAAGCAGTGGTAGTGATAAAATGGCATGTGGATGGCGTGCTCTACTGGAAATGACGGTGGTGATAAGCAGATCACATAACAGAGAGACATATAAACAGTGGCTGCGCTGTCAGTTTATGCATATCTATCCAGGCCTGTGAAAAAAAAAACACACAGCAGCCTGTATAGAATGACTGTATGTAAGATAAAACAAGCCCCATGAACCTCTAATGGAAGCAAGTAATAAGTTGTCAAAATCAAAATTAGCTGAGAAAACCCTCATCAAGATAAAAGGACTAGACCAGTCACCTGACACTTGATGAAAACATCAACTATTTTTTCCTTCTTTTGACATGTGATGTGAAATGCTGAACATTACAAAATGGTTATGATTTACTGGCAGTCAAAACATTTTAAAATAATAGTACAGTTGATGGGTTTACTAAGAGTCTTGACTGTAGAATACTTCCAGACATTCTGAAGTACCTGAGAAAGCTTCTGTTACTAGAGACTAATGAGTTGGTTAAAGAACAAACTCTTTCCATTTTTGGCTCAGAGTTAATTCAGGAGATTTGTTAAAGAGTATGCAGTAAAATTTCTCAATCAGTAATGCTTACTTTAATGAAACCTTGGACTAACCATGTTTCAGGTTAAAGTTTACTCAGCACTGGTCTACTTTGTGAGAAATGCATCTAAAATATTTTTCCAGGCATTAAAAGTAATAAATAATTTACTGTGTTCTCTGATAACCATTATCTTAAGCAAGGAAAATGATGTCTTAATAAGCCAATGAATAAGAACATAACATCAACTGTAAAACAACAATACTAAGTTATTTTGGGAGTGACTACACCAGACAGTGCCTATTTCAGTCACGTCAAGTACAGTTCAGAGATTATCTCTATAAATATCACCGCACCTCTTAACTCTACAGAACAAATTTAAGTAGCACCAAGAAAACATGAAGAAATCTAAATGTTACATCGCTGCTTTCCCAATCTGTGTGCATGCAGAACGCAAAAGTGATCAATTTGATGCCAAGATGAGCTGCACAGCCACTTACACCGGCTCATCTTCTGACGGAGCCTCCGAATCCTCTTTATCCCGGGTCACAGCTGGCATTTCCACCACAGAGATGGAGATGTTCTGCTCTGTGTCAGCTGAATGTGGTTATGACAGGACACATCTCCAACCTGCAGACACCATTCAAAACAAAGTAATGTTTGTGTAATCATGGAGAAAGTTTTTTAATCAATGCCAAATGCAAATGCAAGACAACCTCTTTCCGAATTAAAGCTAACCGCCAGGAAAAGCCATCTACAGACGTCAATAATGACCAGCAAGTAAACCTTCATTGTCAGCTAGTATAGTCAGTGAGTTATAGATAGTAAGTCACTAATGAAAGCTAGCATAAATTACTCGTTTAGGTGTCCTATGAGAAACTGAAAGGATGAACATTTCAATTTAACTAACACTAATGCTGTCAATCACTGTTATTGACTACTCAAAAACAGTAAGACTACGAAGCTGATAATATCTAAGCTAGCTAACGCTAACTTAGCTAAGCCTGATCTCATTTAATACCAGAGTCATGGTAACTTTCTATCAAAACAGTCAAAACACATTAAAGCAAACAAAAGAAGCGACACAACAACAAGCAACGTTAACATCGGGAACAAGTTATGTTATATCATACACTAAATCTAGCATTTTATACTAACTCGTTGGCTCGCTGAACAGCTTTAACAGCGTTAGCTAAAACTGGACTGAGGGTTAGAGTTAACGTAGGTTATCTTAGCTTAGCTTAGCTTAGCTAGCTAACTGTGAAAATACAGTCACCATTCTCCCTCGCAACTCACAACTTCCAGGTCGGGTAAACGAGTACGCATTACTGTTTAATAGTCAAGTGGCTCTGAGCGTACCTGTTTGTGTGAAAGTAAAATGTTCCACAGTGAAGCACAGGTGTAAGTGATGCAGTTAGCCTCACTGGCTAGCTCCTCTTTCCCCACCGCTGTAACTATAACAACCAACTGGCAACCATTGAGCTGCGCATGCGCGGCTATATGTTGCTGAGGTTCACGTGTCTTTCTGCGTTGGTGTTTCTCCAGAGACGCGGCTGGAGCCCGTTTCTCAGAGCCAGATTAAGCCTAACCCCAGACTAAAAGAAGATTTTCAATGAGGACTCAGCACTGGGGTTGCAGTTTAGCCTAAGACTATGCTTAAGCCATGTTTGAGAAATAAGCTTCTGAAGTTGTCGACTTACATGTGGGGTGTTGGTGTATGCAAAAATACACACACAGGATATTTGTGTAATAATGTTTTATTTTGATGTATTTTGATTGTATTTTTATTCATATCTTGTCTGTTGCTGCTTATATTTTTTATTCAACGCTTCTTGCTAAAGCTCTTACAGCTGCATTACGTTATTCTTCTTCTTCTTCTTCTTCTTCTTATTATTATTATTATATTCATACAGGCTCATTATTTTCCCTCAGTCAGTTCAGAGAATGAGTTGGGTTAGTGAGTTTTATTATTGTTGTTCTAAAATACAAGAAGAATTTCCCAGCAAACTGCAGCATTTAGTACAACACTGAGAGTGTTCGTTACCTCCTCTGCTGTTGTACAGGCTTGACTTCTGTATTTCTAAATCCAGTTTACTGAGCAGTCCGGTTTGGTGAAACACCCCAGGGCTCGAACTCGTGTGTCGGTTGCCAGACGCTCGTAGTCTTGCAGTGATTGGAGGAATACACAGAAATGGGCGGGGTCTTGAACCACGTGTTTTCAAACGGTCCACTGAGGTGGAGGTGCGACAATCGTCCGCAGCTTCTAATTGGTCCAATGTTATGTCCCTACAGTAATTATTACTGAGGGGGAGGTGTCCAAAAATGCTGTTTTGCTGCAGCGAGTGCTCGCTGCAATGGGGCAGGAGGGCTAAGCGTTCAGCTTCTGCTACAGGTAAATGTAACTGCTTAATCTGAAGTGGGAATAATTCTCATGTCCTTGTAGACATGTTTGAAGCTAAGCACCCATTAATAGTAATTCGCCAAGCTTAGCTACCTAAAGTCAGTAGAAATATTTTGCTTCAGCTAATGCTAGGTTTGTTTTTCTTTCTTCGACCTGTAGGTCTGTGTGCCTCGAATTTCATCTGTTAATGCAACTCTAATCAATCTAAAGTTCTGGTTTAGGAGAGCGCTGGACGCAGACGCGCTGGTCAGTAGTGAGTTTCCGTTAGTGGTCTCAGGAAATATGAGTCGTTTTTTGAACGTACTGCGGAGCTGGTTGGTCATGGTATCTGTCATCGCCGTGGGAAATACAGTCCAAAGCTTCCGCGACCACAGCTTTCTCTCCGAAAAACTTTACACAGGCACACCTGATTTTGGTGAGTGCAAACAACTGCTGTAATTTTGAAGTAATATACAGTACAGCTTAGAATAACATACTGTTACGGGGGCTGATGTCCATTCTTAACAGTTTACTGTATAGTTTGCAGTCATTTTCTGTAAAAAAAAATAACGCTCACTATCCCAGAATTCACTGAAATCTCTACAAATGAGAAATGGGAAAACTAGGGACATTGGATTCAACTTCTACAGCATTAACACAAAATTTCACAAACACAAGATTTCATTAAAAAATTAACATGTATGTAAAGTTTAAATCTTTTACACATAATAGAGAAGAGAGAGAAAGTAGTTTGGTTTGATGGGCTATATAGAGGTGGAGCCAGTCAATCAGTAGGTTGTTGTGGGAAATGATATAGTCGCAGTAGTGTAGCTCCCACAAGACCAGCCATGGTTCTTGGGCTGCCTGGGCTATCGGCTCTGATGCACGTGATCTGGTTGCACTGGGTCCACGCCAGGGAATAAACATCACCTGTAGTTGTGTACGCTGAAGTCTTGGCAACTGAACTGACCTCCACACTCAGTGTTATCATATGTAGCGTATTATAGTTATGATTTATATGTTTAGTTTACGATAGGTTTACACTTTCTGTCCAATTTATCTGTAAAGTGCATTAATGTAAACATTCAGTTACTGTGTGTTTAATGCTGTGATTTTATGGTAAAACATTCTTTCTGTTAAAGTAAATTTTACAGAAATTTTTTTTTACAGTTTGTACAGTTTGTATGTCTCCTCCATGTAAACAATTAATGAGATCAGACAGATCTGTGATACTAAGTTACCTACAATGTTCCTGCTTTTTTATTCCTCAGTAAATGGCCTTCAGGCAAGAACCTTTGGGATATGGACCTTACTGTCATCCATCATTCGTTGTGCCTGTGCCATGGACATTCAGAACAGAACGTAGGGAAATCACAAAGTTATTTTGTTGATTTTACTTAGTTTGAAATGACAAATGTGCAAAAAACTAAATGCTTGCATTGTCCTTGACTCTTGTTGTCTCTCTTCCCACCTTAGGCTTTATCATATAACCTTGTGGACATTTGTTCTGGCTCTTGGCCATTTCCTATCTGAAGCCTTTATCTATAAAACAGCCCCACTTACCATTGGAGTCATGGCCCCTCTTTTTGTGGCAGGTGAGTTGGGCAGGCATCATAATGAAAGACAGATGTGTATGATTTTGTTTGTAACATGCTGCTACATCATCATATCACAATCTGCTAAATGACTGTAACATTATGAGATACTGCTGGTTTAGGAAAGGTGAATATCAGTGATGTCTGGATAGGTGGGCATCCTCACCACTCACTGTATTTCCCATGTACTGTATAATTAAAGGGTCCATATCATGGAAAAATAAATTTCTATTGCTGTTTTGAAATTATAAGAAGCAATATGTAAACACTGTTAAAGTTTCAAAACATACCATTTGCTACATATACTTAATGTTTTATCTAATGTAATGTCTTTAGCTAATCACCTTTTTTTCGCATGGCGGTGTAATCATGGAGTGAGGGTGTTATAATGGCTTAGTAAGCCCATAATATCATAACAAAGGCCCTGTGCAGTTGAACAGCTGAAGACTTGTATAACAGAAGAATGGCAAAACATAGCACTTTCAAAACAGAATCAGTTTGTGTCTTCAGCCACCAAATTATAACTAGGTGTTTTTGAAGGGAAAGATGAATTGGGTTTGAACAAGCCAAGATAACACTAAGAAATAATTGGTAATAGTTGTTGTTTTAAATAAGTGCATTCATTAATGTTTCAAATGTGAAAGTTTCAAATTGAGCAAAAGAATTCATTCATGCTCTTTGATATTACAGTACAGCATAATAGGAGGAAAAAAGAAAACATTACTCATAAAGGAGCACATGCTGGTTATGTAACTCATGATTAGACAAAATCTTTGCCCTCTGCAGACATGGTCAAATAACAAAGTACACCGTCAATAACAAAGTACACAGACACAAATGCATCTCTTCCTATTTCTAGCTGAGTATATGGCAAATTAATCAGAGGTGGGTGTATGCAGTATACCAGCATTTACGCACCACTGTACTAGTGGAGAGGATTAGTAATAGTCAGATTTAAAACACTAGCACGTCTTGTACTTGAGTATTAGTTATGTTGTCACAGCTCATGAATGCAAATACAGGCATGTTAAACCTTCATTATGAACCTTCACTTCATATTTTACTGTATGGTAGCCTCATCGTTTTTCTTTTGCCATTTTATTTCTAGGTTTTTCTATTGTGGGCATGTTAATTGGGTTCCAGTGTATAACGGATCCGGAGGAAGTAAGTGGAGCGAGGCAGAAGAAGAGAAACTGAATCTATGCCTCAGTGACTCGGTGTCCTTCAGTTGCTGGATGTGACTGAATTGGTTCATTTCCATTGCCTAAGGACAAAGACCGTGGAACTGGACAGAACTTCTGAATGCCCTATTCCAGATTTACACTGACCACTGTGTGGCCTATAAGCAGCGCATTTTTGTAATCTCACAAAATCAGACTGAGCGGTGATGTCAATCATTTAAAGCATACTGAACTGTTCTTCAATCAAAATGATACAGGCAATGTTATGTTAGATAATCTGGGACTTCTGCATACCATCTCACCTCTGGAATAATGTTGAACATCACCTTTTTTCAATTTGCCAAATAGAAACAGTAATAAAGAAATCTTTTATGTAATGTGTAGAGAAACACAGGGGCATTAATAATTCAAATGATTTGTTAAATTAATTGTAGTGATTCTAAGTTGAATGTTTATTTTTGGTGACCTGCACTCAGTAAGAGTCCTTCGATGCCTTTTTGTTTAATCATCACTGAGTTGTGTACGAATCCAAGCTCACATGAATGGGTTTTCCATTTCACCTGTTCACTGGTTGTCATGACATCTTCATAACTGGTATGTATGCATGTAGAAGTATATTGTAAAAGATAAAACTTAACTCACTTAAAGAAGAATGGCTTTGTCTTTGCCAATGGACAGAATGGACAGATATCAAGAATAAATATCTCGGAAAAAAAATATTTATTTTAACAGATTAGCAGTTAACATTCACACACTCTGAATATGGCAAACTGTTGACTAAATAACTATTATTAAATAGGAGATCAAATTAAAACTCTTCATTTAACATATATACAAAATCTTTATATAAAAAATAAATATAAATTCAGGTCAGTTTAATCTCCAGAGACCCAGAGTTGTAGTGGAGGCCCTGCTGAGTATAATGCAAATACTTTGTGAATACAGTATAGATTTAAATAGAAAGATCACTTACATACCAGACTGAATATCAGAGCACTGGATGTTTTAAGTAATACATTTAGTACAATAGCATAACATAACAATATATTTTAATTAGACCAGAGTATACAATATGTCGTAATACAAGAACTGAGGGGATGTGCTAGAGAAAATCCCTTATATGGGTATCATCTACCATAACCTCTGCTGAGATTACAAAAGATGCTAATGCTATAGAATCCAAAATCAACAGATATGGTGCTTCCTTAGCTTCTTCATTAAATGAAATAACTAGTATACAACTATATAATAAAAAGTCAGTTTAAAGACTTCTAAGAAGTTCTAAATACATTAAATGTATTACATAAAAATTA